CTCGCGCTTGCTATCAAATCAGACTAATTGATGAACAACAGAATCGGTACCATCTTCCCGAACTGCTTCCTGATCTCGCCTACACTCCGTGCGAGAAAGCTTCTAAATTCAGTAGGTGGACAGCCTCCTCTCGCCCATTCCCCCCCGTCATTCCTCTTCGTGCATCGCATCGGTGGCTGGTAAATGGGTGAAAAAGTGGCGTGACTCAAAGGGAGAAACCGAGCCACTCGTGAACTATGCCACGACGCGACGGTCGCATCTACTGTGGGCAGACAATGGGAGACGAGGTCTGCGTGCGTCTATGCATCTCCTATTTACATGTAAGTGTAGCTGTGCTCACCGGGTAACGAGCCCCGGGACTCGTATCCGCAATTTGCATCCAATGCAGCCGGGTAACGCGATAAATATGCATGAATTCGGGTAACACAAGAGTGAAAACACAGCTGCGAGGATGCCTCGGGATTGCGACACGTCTGTCGATTCCTTCAATTCTGACCCGCGTTTTCATTAGTGCATTTCTAACCGATTTCTCGGTACGTACCGAGATTATCAAGAAAGTCTATAACTTGCTACGTTATTCATACTATAAATTTTTAAAAACTAGTAGAAAACAAAATATGTAAAATTAAATCCAGAGACGTTCCATGTTAATTAATTAAAAATCTAAATTAAGAGTACAAATCTTTTACTCTTCATGAAAATTCATATTTTTTTTTATTGAAATGTATTAATTATTATATTTCTCATTTCGAATGGTACAGGAAATATATACTCTAAAGAAGTAACTGGAATTTAAATGTGCTCTGAGATAAAGGAATACGTTTTCCGGTTTTTCTGAAACTTCTAATTCTCGTTTGCACTTAACGAATCACAGAGCTAGCGCCAACGCGATTGCTTTATCGTCCGACTAATTATTGCGAGCGTGATAGGGCTGCTCATAAAATCGTTTTATAGACACTCGTACCCGTACGGCGGAACATCGATCGTTTACGAGTTAATTGCTTAATTAGTCGATTACATGCTACAGAATAGCCCCATCGTAGCCTCTCGTATCGCGTTACGGCTAGTAAACAGAGGATTGCGAGAAACCCATTCTCGCGCATTTTCAATGACATTCTGCCCTACACCCGACGTGTTAGCACCGATCGCAAAATGGATCGAAAATCAGGAGCAAAGATTTCCCTCAATTCGAGTGAGTCCGCTTTTCAATCATGTTCCTCGTCGCTTCCTAATTTACGCGATTACACGAGTGACAGAATTATTAGCATAATCGTGTGATAAACTATATTCTTTTGCAACGAGTTTTTCTGTTTCCCTTCGCGCAATGAACAAAACGACCCGCGAGCGCTCGACTGCTTTTTTCCGATAATGAGCCGATTCAAACCGCGTTTCCTCAATAAACAATCATCACGGAGATTACCGTTCTCCTTCTCAAGCAACATAGTTGCTTTTCAGATAGTTACGCGTCGTTTACGAGTCCGGCGTTTAACGGTCATCGCGTCGACGGGACCGAAACGGAAGCGCGAAAGCAGGGATCCTGATCAATAATATCGAGCGCGGCGCATCGTCGGGTGGAGACCGGAGGCAATTTGCATCGCCGGTTCGCAGAAATCTGGAAACCGCCCCGGGCGCAGCTAGCGAATTTGTTGATATTAATCAACGTCCACGCCGCGTCGCTCCCGGCCAATACTTAATCATCTATCAAATGCTTTTGAATTAGATGGATTACTGGTCGATGTTAATAAGAGCTTGCTCTTCGATGAAGACTCGTGCTTCAACGAGATATCACGTTTCAGACTTTCTGAATACTTTCTGTGAATAATTATTAAGACTGACAATTTGCATGCAAAATAATGTAATTTGCAATGTGAACTTAAAAAATAAAATATGTAACATTAAAAGTTGTATGCATGTTTCAATCTATAAACAATAAAAAGGATATCTATTTAAAACAGATTTTTTAATACCGACACCATAAATGTTTTTGCATAAAAATCTGCAGTCTACGGATAAACGGTTTTAAAAGAAAAATAGAGGAGAGCGATTACGTGGGAAAGATGGATCGCAGTGGAGTAAATGCAGGTAGTTAATCCGACATCAATCAAAGGGACGCGGTATGATCTTCGAAGGCGTCTCTATCGCATTGTCCGGTTCTTTTTTCATTCCCTTATTAATTCTCCGATGCGAGACTTCGCATGGACCGAGAGGAGGAAGCACGAGCTGGTTATTATCGGCCGTCACGCGAATTCGATATCATAATCCCGTGGAAACGTCCTCCTTCAGGGTTCGTTTAATCATCGCTTTCGTGACCACGTCTCTACTTATGCTAATCGGGGAATCAATGGGAGAAAAAATGGTTCCGAGGAATCTATCATCCCATACGGTTTATCATTAGATTCGGAATGTAATAGAGTCTTTGTTCAGGCAGAGGGGTACTTCGTTCATCAGAGTTCGTCTCGGCTTTGATACAACCTGAATTCAAGTTACTCAGATCCTGTAATTATATAATAACAGGGGGGGTGGTTATTCCGAGTATGCAATTTCGTAATGAAGATATATACGGCGAGTCGAGGGAACGCACGAGCGCGAGCCAAGTTTGGCAAAAACGGACGTGCACGATATGTGTATTACTTTACCCTCGACAGCATCCTATTACAAATCCAGCACGTTCCCACTCATCAATCATGGAACAGCACCACCCAGATTTCACGTGCTTAGCGAACGAGTATAGTTGCATCTCACTTAGTTCTGCCCTGTGCTATGTCTAACATTTTTGTAACCATATAACAATCACCTACATACGCGTCTCATTCGCAGTAATGAAAACGTTTCTACAAAAAAAATGCCAACTCACTGTCTGTCATAGTAAGCATACTGCGGATTTTTATACAAAATATTTACAGCGCCATTTTAAAAAATGTTACTTAAGTCTACAAATTTCTGTTGTTATTTGAAGATTGTGATGTGCAACTTTTGATATTCTGTACATTTTTATAGACATACTCGATATTCAATTATTCTAAGAATTAAAAATTAATTTAAAATTAATATAACAAACTGATATTCTAATATTATATACTGATAAACGATGAACGACGAATTCATTTGGAATCCAGTCTGCAAGACTCGGCGAGCGTTTTTCGAGCATTCTATTTGAAATTCGCTTGTCACTTGCGGCTAGCCGCAGCCGCGTTTCGTGCTCGCGCATAATCAAACCGCGACAGTTGAAAATTACCAGGTGTGTCTCTCCCCGTGCCGTTCGAAACGCCGCGGAGAAGACCAGGCGAACGCCGTTCGTTCCCTGGTTAATTAATTAAGCAGGAAACGCTGGCCTTAAGCGTCCTCCTGCTCGGCAAAGGGAACGCTCGCTCGCAGGGGGAAGAAAAAAAAACATGCAAGCTAACTTCCTCCGTGATACGTTTTTCCACGACCACTCGTAGAAGCTAACCCAGATCAAAGAGTGAACGAAGTGGACAGCCTTGCTTGGATCCCGGTGAAACCGGAGAGAGTGTGATCGTAATTTTTCGTTAATACGCGCGTGTTGGGCGCAGACGACAGTGAAGCGGCTGACCGGAAGCCACGGTTTGTTCAACCTGCTCTCGTTTAATTCCGCGCACGGACCGAGTTCGAGGCAAACCAGGGCTATTACACCGCGAGGATGACGTTACGTATCCCCACTGTCTTTATTCCCTTATTATCCCTCCCTGTTCCTGTACCGCGTAACACTACAACTACCGATTCTATCGAACGACGATTCTCCTTATACTATGAACAAACACGAACGCGTGCTTAATTAAAGAAGCGACTGTTCTGCCTCATCAGCGGGCAGGACGGGGAAGAATTAAAGAGAAAATCATAAATCTGAAGCATCGTTGACTCCAAATAAGATGAAACTTAAGAACGCATCGTAAAGTTTCTATCAATTACGAGATTCGTCGATCGTTTCGGTGATTCTAGCGAAGAAAAGGAAAGAAGATACTTACGAGTTAGAGGTAGAGCGTGCCAACACGTCGGGGTGCCACCACGGTGACAGCCAGACGTGGTCCACATTTAGTAGGGGGTGGCGGCGCCGTGGTGGTGGGCGGAGGCGTTTCCGGTCTCGCGCAACCGAGCCCGCTTCCACCGCGAAGTTCCCAGACTAAATTCGTCAGCGAGCGCGGTCTACTCAAACGCCGTGATCTAAAACGAACGACAAAAACTCGTCTTTAATTAATTAAAACTTTCATCATTAATTAATATAAATTCTACATCTGACTCCTTCTATCAATTTGTATGATCACACTTAATGTTAAATTATTCAAGATTCCATTGCGAGTTAATATATTCATCATGCATATTCATGAAAGAATCGTTTAAATGTAATCGCGTTGCTGTACACCTTATTATCATGTTTACATTTGCCATGTAGGCAATGTCCCAATTTCCGTACACAATTTCTACTGATCGGCTCAAAGATTACATATAAAATTATAGAAAAGAAGCGAGTGTATAGAAATTGAGACATGCATATGAATCACTTTGCCTTATAATCACAACATCCTTAAAATTACTGTTCGATAATAAATTTGATTAGAACAGGAATACTTACCTTTTTTCCGGCAGTTTAGCTCCAGCACCAGAGTCCCCTGACGTTCTCCCCCCGGAATGACTCGAGTCCAGCGTCCCGTCCAATTCCATAGCCTGCTGCAGATTCGTCAGACTCTTATATCTGATATTGAAAAGCGGCGAGCCGCCCTTATACCCAGGCGGCGTCTCCTTCAACGGCGACGCACTCTTCTGCCTCATCAACGGGCGCCCCCTTTGCGTGCCGCTGTTCTTCACGTAGAGCTTCGCCAGCGGTGGCTTCTCGAGCCTCGGCTGCGGCGCCTCCTTCACCGCGCGCCTCGTCCTCTTCTCCGCCTGGATCTTCTTCGTCGGTATCGTCTCGATGGGCGGTGGTTCCGGTCTGTCGTCCAACAGAGGCGCGATCGTGACCGTGACTGGCGTCAGCGGAGGACTGGAACTCTGCGCGACCGGCAACGGGCTCTCGTAAGGCGATTTCACGCTCTTCGGCAGCGGCGCGAATCCGCGTACGTAATCGTAGATCTGATCGATCTCGTCGTACTCCTCCGTGCAGGCGGAGGGTGGAACCCGATTCTCGTCCCTGTAACCCGCGTGTCCGGAGACTTGGTGACCGTTGCTGTGATAGTGATGGTGATGATGATGGTGGCTCGTGCTATTCCGATGGTGGAGCGGCGCGTTGTCCGAGTTCGTCGAAGACCGCCTCAGAAAACCGGAGCCGCTTCTGTTCTGTCTGGAGGGTTTGCTCTCGCCCAGTCTCCCGTCTAGCACGTGAGCGCGGTCCGCCACGTCAGCCACCAGACGGGACGCGCGTTCCACCAGCCTCGTGAACTCCTGCATCGACCTGAGAGCTTCCTCGTTCCGCGCTTTCACCAGCTTCAAGGGAGCAGCCAGGGGTAACGCCACGGCCGCGCCGTCTCTCTGCAAGGGCAGTGCGAAAACGTGCTCCTCTTCGAACGTCGACAGCAGCCTCAACTCGGGTACGAACTGCGAAGACGACTTCAACCCTCTCGGTGGCTGGCCGTGCACCAATCGAACGGTCAGTGGCAGGCGCTTGCTGAGCAACGCCCGCGCGGTGTGCACGCCGCTGATGTTGTCCTCGCGTGCCAACGCGCTGAAGCGTCCTCGTTGCTCCATGCCCAAAAGGACGCTGTCCCCTCGACAGTCCACGCAGCGAAGAAATCTCCCGCGACCGGGTAAGCTAACTTCTCCAACGGTGACGATGGTCTCCCCGGCTGCCAGAGTCCTCGTCCCCTCTGGGACCACGATGCCCGACTCGTCGTCCACTCTGCAAGCTATGCCTCGTACGGTCTCGCGGACCAAAGCTCCCTCTTCGGGGCATCTTCGACAGAGCTCGTTGACAGACTCGATGCCTCGCACCGCTCTGCCCTCCTCGCTGAGGATCTCGAAGTAGCCGGCGTACGAGTCGGGGATCGCCAATCTCGGCCCGACGCCCACGACTCTCCGACCCTCCTTGATCTTGACGGCTTGGGCGACGATCTTCCGTCGACGTCCGGCGGACACGAGCAGCGCCGTGCTTTGCAGACTGGGCGCTGGGAGCGTGGGCACGCCCAGCCCGCCGTACTGGCCCTTCGTGATCTTGATCACCGCCGGCAGACGATACTTGGAGACGAATTCGCGAAGGTACGTCGCTTCCTCGGCCCAGCGTGCCGCCGCAACGACGATCTGACCATCGGTCGCGGCCATCGCGGCGTTCCTTTTGTGTCGCCCAGCTTCGCTCGCGAGCACGGGCCCCGCCAAGGATCGAGGGCCCGCCTCAGGGCTACGAGGATCGTTTCCCGCTACTGGCACTCCTGCTGATCGAACGCCGCGCCTCTATGCTCCATCTGTAACCCGAATCGATAAATACGAACGTTTTAATAGTCAGCTTTATTCAATGCAAAAATCTGTTAAGGTTGTATGAACTTTTACATAAAAACAATAACAAAGCATCGAAATTTCAACAGTTATTAGATATTATATTAATAAAAGATTTTAAAAATTTTGCGAGTTCATTGTTTCAAATATTGGACACAGATTTTTATTCTTATACGTCTTAAACTTTCGGCAGAAATTTTACGGGTCATACAAATCTTAATGAAGTAATAAGATTTTTGTGCGAAACGAAGTTTTTGTAACATTAATGTAGGAAAAACAGATCGAGATTAGATTTATCTTAAAAAATAGCGATGTGTATTACTTTAATACTATTATTTATATTTAATTTTATCTTTGTTTTATTATTGTATGACAATGGGTTTTACAAGCCCGTATTTTGATAAATAAAGAAATTATACTCTTGCTATACGCGTTGGTATTCTCTGTAAAATGCATGAAATCCTGAGTCTAGCCATGAAATATAAAGACATTCAAAGCGTAAAAGGAAACAGCCTAGCATTGTTAGAACGCGGAAGCGTCACTTTTATCGGATTAGGCCCGTTCTAAGACGCGTTACGACACCGTGGAATTTCGATGCCGATCGACAGAACCGTGAAGCAATTCGTCCCAGGGAATCGCTTTTAACGCGATGCCTGGTCACGATGCATTCGTGAAATCCGAAACAATCGTCGAGGAGGCACCGCCCAGGCTCGGGTACGTGCATATTCGTTAGGTAACAGACCTTTTGAGACACGTTGGCCGCGTTAATCGCCGGTTACGCCGATGTTACGCGCCGCGTTCGGGCCCCACGAGGAAGTAACGGGAAACGGGCCCACGATCACGGCCCGTTCCAGTTCGACTTCTCGGTCACGAACGCGTATTATCGCTTCGTTTTTACATTCCAACCCAATTGAATTTTTCAAATTTTCAAATATCGTGAAACTGTGTGTGTATGAGAAAAGATTGTTCCAAAAACGTATATTAAATTTGTCAATCGTGTTTTGGCACGATCGTCAGAAGTAGTCATTGAAGTGGTAAGACTTCATTACAAATAAACTGATTTTTCAATAATTAATAGTAAATTTGTTTACTGGTTGCACGTTTTACAACGAGATGCCGAATAAAATGATGTATTATTGAGTTGACAAGAAAGTAATTTCGATTTTTATAACGTTATGTATTTGCGAAAACCAGAATTATCTTCTTGCCAATTTAACAACAACAGATACAGTGTAAGGGTCGAAGCAATTGATCCAATACGTTCGATATGGATAAAATAATGTAGAGTAATTTTGTTACGGCGGCCAGTAAATAATTTCCTAATCTTGCTAATTTCATCAAACTCTTAATCCAGTCGACCACACGGAAGTGACCCTAGCGATGTATCGCTCAGCTGCAGTGTGAAAGGCCCATTCAAAGAGGGAGGAGAGCGTACGTACGCGAATCGAGGAGGGCATAATGAAATCGCGCGGTGAAAAACCAGCTCGCGTCGCCTCTCTGAAAGGGGGGCTTTTTCAACACGGCTCAAGGTAGATAAGCACCGGGGTGACCAATGACCCGGGGCGTCGTGACAGGCGCGCCTCTAGGAAGTTATTCGACACACTCCTCCTGTCCTGCATGCACACACACACACACACACACACTAGCTCCTTCGACTTCGTACTTCATTATTAGAATTTTATAGATTTATACAATAATAATCGAAGGTGCGTACATTAGATCGTTGCATAATTTTTATCGTATTTCATAAATTTTCAATGTTTCTCAAAAATCCATTCTTTGATAGATTCTGTTCTCCTTTCTCCTCACTTAAATGGTGTTCCTTTGTGCTTCGACACTCTATTTCTCTTTCCGTTTCACCGTAGTATCTACAGAGGATCTTTCTAAGTACGTACTTCGTTACAATCTCTCCCTCCCCCCCATATCATGGAATTTCTCTCACAGTAGGTTTCTACCACACGATTTAGAAAAGAAGCTTTCACGAGTACAGAGAGTATAGAGATACTCTAGCAGTGCGGAGTATGAAAGCGACCCGATGCAAATTTGTATCGGGTGTTTTTCCCTCCCTGAGGCAACGGTGCCTCGCTGCTAGTACCTCAGGGCTTTGATCGAACGCAGGAAACCGTTAAGTTCCTTCGGTTCGAGCCGTGCGTATTCTCGTGATAAGGCGATTACGCGATACGGGAACAGAGACGGCGGCAATTGTATATCTGATACACGCAAATCCTCCTCCTCCTCCTCTTTCGAATCCATGGGAGTGTACCGTTCCGAAGGAATTTCTCCCCTTTTCAACCATTCAGACATCTTCCTCGGAGGATGTATTAGCCTCGTGTGTACGAAACATCGTTCCCTCGTTTCTCGAGTTTAGACTTTCCAGTAAAAAGTCACACTACTATACATTCTGACTTATTATACAATTAATCAAATGGAAAATAAAACGAATTTGACGACGAAGAAGATGAAACAATTTGGTACACGTCAACAAGATTTATAGTACATACAATTTACATATTTATATTAATCATATATTGCAACATTATTGATGACGTGGCTTAAGTTTGCACATTCCACTTCATACATTCAAATATATTATTGAAAAAAAATGAAACTGTAATCGAGCAAATTACTTGAAGAACTAGAACTGTGAATGGAGTATTACGAAAGTTTGCATACTTCAGGAACTATTATTTTCAATGTATCTGAGGAAATGAAATGATTTAATCAATTAGGGATGTATAAATCAAACTGATACACGTTCTATTGTTTTATGTCATTCCAACATTATTTCCTTGGTTTTATATCAGATGTTCTAAGAGATATGTTGCAACAGCTGCGTTATCATTGGCAATATACAATTCTAACTGAACCTAGCGGATCGAAAAATGTATCTGATCGAACGAGAGCATCCAATCAAATACTCCACGTATGTACATGTAACAGTACCTCGGAATTATCTCGGGAAGGATTGGAACAATGGCACCAACCATGAATCGAGAGGAGCCAGGGATAGATAGACAGAAGGGCGAGAAGATTCCTCGAGCAGATATCGTTTGTTGAAATACGATTAAAGATTCGCGGCCTGTAGAGTTCCCTTTCGATGTGGCCCGGCTCTATACGATAGTTATCAGCCTCGATGACGATATACAACGGCGCGGCGGCAGAACGCCTACGACCCCGGCTGCGAACGGTGTCGCAAACTCGGAAACACGCCGTCTAATCGTAATAATGTTTTATTGTTACACGGCTCTCGGTGCGTGCCGGGAGAATTAGTTCGCGCTGGTTTGTCACCGTGGAAAATGGCACTTCACTGCTTTCAATTCCTATTTTTAGAATGCTGCATTTTCTTTCTCAAGTTGAAATTTCCCGGATATTATTTAGCATGTTCTGCGTTATAAATCAAATTGTTAAATTGTATATTAATAAGAACTATAATAAAAATGTTGCAATCGTAGCAGAAAATAAGACATCGATATTAAACTGTGTGGTAATTGAAATACTTGTTGATTAGATATCATGATTAGGTATAATCACAGTTCATACTTGAAACAGAGTTATACTATTATAAAAGCCAATAACAATAAATTGGGTAGTAGAACAAATAATTTCGAGGCTGTGTAAGTGAACAATATTTTAAAAAATTGATTGCCAGACACCGTTAATAGTCAGATTAAAAATAGTCGCAGCAATTGAATATCGACAGATCACGATCGATACACGCGGGACGCCCACAACTGGAAACGTGTGTCGCAACGCTCCTCGTCGGTCTCGCTAACCCCACGGATTCGACCCCGTCTCATTCTGGCGCGCGCGCTCGAAGCTGATTTATCGACGTGCCCTCGAATTATACCTATATGCCGAGGTTGGCTTTCACCGCTGCTCGCTCAGTTCCACACAGCTACCACCGCAGATCCTTTTGTCTTCCCTCTGCCGGATTTCGACACCGTCTGTGCAAAAGCGACAACGCACGGGACCCTGTGACCCGTTCCCCTTCCCCCGAGCTCGACTGCTTTTATCGTAAACGAGATACCGAGCACGCGACACGTCTACAAAAATCAGTGTCTGAATATATTGAGCTATGAGGATGATTGAGTTTCATGCAACAGTCTATACATTGTGCAATCTCTGCAAAAGTATAGAAGCATGCTAATTCGATTTCTCTTGCCTTCCCTAAATTAGTTCTTATGAATTACAATTTATAGATTAACGNAATATTGGACACAGCTTTTTATTACATGTCTTAAACTTTTGGCAGAGATCTTACAGCTCGTAAAATTTTAAAGTCTATGTGAAGATAATTATTTGTTTTTGTAATTCGAACATTATTATCCAACTTTGTGGTATAAACGCAACGATTAATGAAGTTTAATTTTAAAGCAAATGTACGCAGCGAGCATCGTTCACAATGCATCCCGATTGGCGCGCGGTGTCGCTAGAACTGGTTGAGTTAATGAATCCATTCCCGTTGCTCGACCGCTTGGGAACTGGAATTTCGCGTCGTTTATAATGATTTATAAAACGGTCGTTGGCGAGAGCGAGCTTCAAATATACCAAACGTGACACCTCGTTGATGCGGATCATCCTGATTTGCAACGACGTGTTGCGGTGATCTGAATATATTCCATTACATAAATCGCATCTCCGTACTAGAATTTATCTACGATGTATTACATTTTTAATACGGCTCGTAATCTCGCAGATTTATCGAGCACTTTTTGCTCGGTTATCAAAGATTTCTAATTAATATCAAGCTTAATTCCTCTTAAACCTGACGTCGAGGATAGTTTGCCAGGCGATTGCGACGGCCGGAATAGCATCACGTTAGAAGTTATACGTGTGCAGGAATAATTAGATTAATGCGCCGCGAAATTGGATTAAGAAAGCGAGACTTTTTCGTGAGAACGTAGCCACGGGTTTAATTAAGTCAGCGCAAAGTACTTGTCACGTATTCGTGTTCTTCCTCTTTCTGTCT